CAAAAAAGTAATTCCTGTAGCACTATCTAATGGCAAATGATGAGGTTCTTGATAAGATAGTCATGGTCTCGAGGAATAAATTATTTGGAACTTTGTTATAGTTAGGAAGATTTTTGAGAACATTAAATTATACCAATAAGCTTAATTGAGCAACGACCTAGTGGGAGCAAGCCATGTAATTACATACCTGAACTGCAACCATTTACATGGGTTTCACTAACTCAAAGAAGTCAAGAATTTTGCTAGTTACACACCAGACTATAGCTATTTGCTTGGGTTTCCCCTGACCAAAGGACTTCAAGAATTTCATGATCGTTATCCAACAGGATACTATATATATATGCATCTCTTCCAACAAGGTTGTATACCTTTTTCCTGGGTTCAGAATAATCAGATCCTATGCCCATGAGATATATAATATTAAGGATGGAACTTATTTTGAAAATGTTCAGGGACAAGTACTCAGCATTCTAATATATTGTATGGATGTGACTTATTTCTATGACAATATAATTCTCTTTAATCAAAGAACTAGGAAATACGGTCCGAAGAATCGATAGTAGTTCCATAAACAACTGTAACGACCCTGAAAATTTAAAATGAAATGTATATAAAGAATCTGAGTGCGGAAGCGAAATAAAAGGTTATGATTAATATCCCTTACACAATAACTTAAACGTACTAATAATATCAAAAAATAAGTCCTCTAAAGAAAATACTAGAAATGAAAGACTATAAGGAAACTAATAAACATCTAAGCATCTACTCGCCGTCTTCTTGTGGATCGGGCTTGGGAACTAAGTCCTCCTGATCTGAAATGGTTAAGTAAGAAATGAGCTACACTAGCCTAGTAAAGACATCGCACTATACCACTGTCACAGAAGTAAAGGTTGGTAGAAAACTAAAAACAACCAATGGAGCACAAATTTTAAACAAATTCATTTATTTAAAATAAACTATTTACCATTTTTCTTACCATTGGAGAATTTATAAAAATAAATTATAGAATCAATAATATCATAGATATCATGAATTCATATATAATCTGTAATCTAGCACATGTCATACTTTTATATTTCAATCATCAAACAACAGTTGTCCCCTTTTCATCAGTCTACTAGTATCTATGGGGATCCATAGGGGTCCCCGCTACACGTGAACCATTCCCTTAACAAACTTAATTTATAGGGCCGTCCCCATACCCCGTCTGGTATGGGCGCTAAACAATAAACCTCAATACCCTGTCCGGTATGAGGGTGAAGCAGACCATCCCCATACCCCGTCCGGTATGAGCGCCAAAATATTTAAAGTCTCCATATCCCGTCCGGTATGAGACAACGTTCCCGGTAGGATTCTCTATGGATCCGGTCCATCCACCATCTCCCAGGATATCTAGTTAGGCTGTCAACTTATCCATTTATCAATTCACACCATTTTCTTATTTTTTTGCTCCTTAGTTCCGTTTCCCACATAAACATGAATACTTAAGCAAGCAACGAGCATCCAACAAGATAAGCATATCATTAGATTCACAAAATCAAGCCTAATGAAATAAACAGTGATTCATGCATTCAAACCCATAGAATAAATAAAACAGATACTATAATGCATTTAAACTTGTAAAGTAAACCAAACAGGAACTGAGAAAGAAATATGTCCGATTTGGGCCCCATTATCAACCTTAATTAATTATGCATATCTACTCAATTTGTATAAAGTACAGTTTTATCATTTATTCAGACTTTAATCCCGTGATAGGAAATAGGGTGAGGGGTCCTTACCTGATTCGAAGTCGAAAATCGAATTTTCACTGCGCCTACGGGCAGTCCCTAGGTTCCCTAATTTTTTTTTCGGGAACTGAAACGCGCTTACGGTACCTACACATGTCCCAAATAACTCAAAAAATCAGACCCAAGGCCTATTCGGCTAATTTCAAAATTTCGGCACGGCGGCTCCGCCGTGCTCCGGCGACTCGCGGTGGCGATCCGCCTCGGGTTGGCTGTTATTGGCCATTTTCGGCCGAATTCGGCCAAACTTGCATTGGTTCCTGTGAGAAAACATCCCTAGGACCCTCGGTGGGCCGAAAAAATACAGAAAACCAAAACTTACCGGTGGCGGGACTCTTCGGTGCAGCGGCTCCTCCGGCTCGAGTCGTGATTTGGTGTTTTGCTCCGGTCAACCTGTAGAGGAGGGAACGGTGTTCACAATGGTGGAAAAATTACATCGAACGGGAATTGGGAAGGGCCTCATCGGAGGCAAAAACTGGGAAAACCTGCGGCGGCGCCGCTGGGCTTCAGCGACGTTTTCCGGCCAATTGGCCAGTGTTTTTGCTTCGTTTTGGCCATAGATGGGTTCAGCATCGAATTCTGAGCCAAGGGGAGAATTTTTACCTCGTTTGGCGGCCGAAAATTGCTCCGGTGCGGTGGCGGGTGGCGGCGGCTGGGCTGTCTTCTCCGGCAAGGGGCTCTGGCAGTTAGGGTTAGGGTTTGGGAGCGGATGAGATTATTTATAACCATCTGCTTTTAATATGAGCCGTCCATTGCGATTTAATTTAGGCCGTCCAATCGTGATTAAATAGAAAATGAATCTGGACCGTTCATCGCGATGCAATCTTGGCCGTCCGTGTGCGATTCAATTTGGACCGTCTGTGCGCATGCAATCTGGGCCGTCCGTGCGTGTTTTTGATCTGGGCTGTCCGTGCGCGCAGGAACGGATCTCAGCCGTTCGATCGTGCGCACGCGGATCGCCCACGTGGCTCCCTTCCGCGTGGCTTCCTGCGTCAGCATCTCTGCCACGCGGCGTGTTCTTGTAGGCCAGGGCTGCTGACCGGGCTGCTGACGTGGCACAATTTTTTTAAATTGTGTTTTGACCTCCGATTTTCAATTTTATTTTTAAAAATACCCCCAGAACCCAAATTTTCACTCTTTTTTCCCAAAATTATTTTCAATTAAATTCTTAAATAATTTTACCCCTTCAACATACTCAGCATTCTAATATATTGTATGCATGTGACTTGTTTCTATGGCAATATAATTCTCTTTAACCAAAGAACTAGGAAATACGGTCTGAAGAATCGATAGTAGTTCCATGAACAACCCTTTTTAAGATTGGGTTTTTTGATAATGGAAATGCCATAAAGTTCTTAATTTAGGAGTATGTTCAAGTTTGTATTCAAGCAACTAAGCTAATACTATACATATTTTCATATGAGTTTTTACACATTAAAATTAAGTTTATATTTTAGTCTAGTTAAAGATATATCATTTACGTTATTTACGAGTAAGCGTTTAGTAATTAGCATATTAATCTTTTAAATATCATATTCTGATAACTCATCTTTTGACAACTCAAACTATTTACAGGAAACTTACCTTGAAAATGTCATCCTGAAAAAGATTTGCTAAAAAGTTCTATTTTCTCAATGTGATAAAATGATTGATTATATGATGAATGATAATGTAAGCATTTTATAATGCTTAGACAGTCAAGGTTGGTTCTTGCTTGATCCTGATTATATATATATATATATATATATATATATATAACAGGTTTAAAATGCCTATAAATTTTTATAATAAAATATTTGACATGGATAATATATATATATATATACACAGACGTAATTACTTGGCCATGACTTCGAGTCTTCGGTTAGATAAATGCCATAATGAAAGTTTCCACATTTTTTAGTGGAAATTTCCACATATTGATGTCTTTGTTATTTAGCGTGAATGAGTTTAGAATTTTATCCAGTGATTTATGACTAGACTTTCAAGTATGTAGAACAAATATATATTGACACGAAAGTATTTGTATGATAATAAAAATAATTATTAAATAAAAATATATACGAAAGTAAAATTCAACTCGTATTTATAACTTTTTAAATATAAAAAATATAATAATTATTTAACTATATAATGATTAAGTAAAACTAACAAAATAGACTCAATAGAAATCATTAGTTGGTATTTTTTTATATTAAAAATTATGAATCCAAATTGTGCATTTATATATATATATATATTATAAAAGTTTGTATTATAATTATTGTATATATATATATATATATATATATATCAGGTAATTAATAAAACATATAAATTTCTATTAAAAAAGCTGCCGTCTATTCATCTTCCTATATATAATTTTCGTGCAATTTGTATATATAAATATTTATATATGTATACGTAATGGTCGTAATTAACCTAACAAGTCCAAAATCAAGAGGGGCTGCTGCTCCTTGTAGACAAGTATTTTTTAATCACTTAATTAATTAACGGCAAACTATACGGACCTTAGCAGTGTCGTATCGTATGGAAATGGAGTTCTTTCATGTCTGCGAGTTAATTTTGCATTAAATATTAAGAATTTTGATCTAAAATGATAAATTAAAGTGTTGAATTTTTTTCTTCTTTTCATATAGTTTGTTCTCCAGTAATTACTATTAATATATACCTATTTTTATTTTATTAAAATAAAAAATATATAAATTTATCAATTATGTAATATATATACACACAACTCAATATAATCTTCAAACAGTAGACAAAATTACAGTTGGATACGAACTCACAGCATTTAATAAAATAAGATACACATTAATCATAAATTAATTAATTTAATTTTTAAATAAAAATAGATTAGAGTATAATGTGATTCGAAATTGCAATATCTTATAAAATTAAGTAGTAATTAATAAATTTAATACAAATTTATTCAGCAGTGAACAGATTGTTAATAATGATTAACATAATATTTGTGAATTAAAAACACACAAAATAAGTAATTAAATGCAAAAATAATTCCCATTAAGAGAGGACTTTTCAAATTTATTGAACCCAAAAGACAAGGTATTATAATGCCTAGTGGCTGTGGTGCTTTTAATGTGGTTGGAGAGAAAATTAGGCAATTTGGAAGATTTTTATTTTGACAAGTTTGCATTAATTTTGGACTGTAAGTAGCACCTATATATATATATATGTGTATGGTATTCCCATGAAGTTATATCTAATCCCTTCTCTTCTCCTTGTTTGGTTTCTCATCTCTCAAATATTTGGCCATGGCCATATTGCCCCGAAAATCCCATTTCTTACCTCCCATGCTGCTATTCCTTGCCTTCCTCCTCGCTACTTTCGGTAACACAGGTTGATTCCCAGCTCTCTTTAATTTTATGAATAATTATTAACTATTTTAAGTATATAACTAAATAAAATTTTTAGTATTATTTTTAAGGTAGGTTTAAATTAGATTATTTATGTTCAAATGTAACTGAAAGATTTTTTTTAAAAAAATTAAATAATATAAATTTAGTTTATCTCTTTATTTTATGGTTAGTTCATGACTTTATTACTAATTATACTGCATAATAATCATAATCTATTTTATTCATTTTTTAAATATAATTAAATATTAATTAAATAAAATAATATTGCAGCTGCTCAGATAGGTGTTTGCTATGGCAGAATAGGCAACAATCTTCCCCCACCATTAGAAGTCATCGCTCTTTACAACCAGAGAAACATTCGTCGGATGAGAATCTATGATCCTGACCATGGAGTCCTTCAAGCTCTAAGAGGTTCCAATATTGAAGTCATGCTCGGTCTCCCCAATCCTGATCTTCAAAGAATCGCCTCCAGCCAAGCTGCTGCCGATGCCTGGATCCAAACTAATGTCAGAAATTTTCCCGATGTTCGTTTCCGATACATCGCTGTCGGCAATGAAGTCCAGCCTTCTAATTTCTTCGCACAGTTCCTTGTCCCTGCAATGGAGAATATTCAGCGTGCACTTACAAATGCCGGTCTTGCTAACCAAATCAAAGTCTCCTCCGCCATTGACACCGGAACGCTTGCCACCTCTTCCCCACCTTCAAAGGGTTCATTCAAGGAAAATTTCATGCCAATTCTTAACCCCCTCGTTCGTTTTCTTGTCAACAACCGATCACCGTTGTTGGTTAATATTTATCCTTACTTTAGTTTCATTAACAACATGAGAGATATCCATCTTGATTTCGCACTCTTCACGGCCCCGAATGTAGTCTTTAGCGACCCACCGTTGAACTACCAGAGTCTCTTTGATGCGATTCATGACTCTGTGGTGGCCGCACTTGAAAAGATTGGTGGAGGGTCACTGGAGATCGTGGTGTCGGAGAGTGGTTGGCCATCATCCGGCGGGACAGCGACAAGCATTGACAACGCGAGAACTTACAACAACAATTTGATTCAGCATGTGAAGCGAGGAACACCTAAGAGGCCAAGACCAATAGAGACTTATATTTTCGCTATGTTTGATGAAAATCAGAAGAATCCTGAATTTGAGAAGTTTTGGGGGCTCTTTGCACCAAACAAGCAGCCTAAATATCCAGTCAGTTTCAACTGATTAGCATCATCCATACATAGACACACACGTATTACTAAATCTAAAATAATAATTACTCACTATATTGTAATTCTCTTGGAAAAAATCATCTTTTAAGTATAATTAAGAAAAAATTAGTGAAATGAAAACATTAATAAAAGTTTTTCCTAGAGGATTTATAATATTTGTTAGTACATTATGTTCATATATATATTATATACTTAAGCAAGGCCAAAGAATATGAGTATTTTCACCCTACGTACATTTAGAATTTATGAATTAATTGGTTTTCAAAGATAATATTTGTAAAAGCCTGAACTCCTACTAGGGATTTCGAGAAAATAACCCAGAAATAGTAAAATAAAATAATATTGAATTTTATAAATTAACGGATGCAGTTTAGAGTTTAGGGTTACATTCCTTGCACAGTCTACTTAAAATGCCTAATAAAGCTACGAGAATGCCCTTGAAATAAAAAATAAAAAAAGAGTAATAAAGGAAACAAATATGATTAATCTCTACTTGAAACTGGGGAAGCAGAGAGGCAATCTTCTAACTAGTTTTCTTACTGCTTAGGATTCGGGTCTTGGTCGTCCTAATCTGAAATGGTTAATGATAAAGAGTGAGCTACACTAAATCAGTAAGAATATCAACGTCTCACTACTGATATAGAAAATCAAAAGTTTGTATAAATTGTAAAACAACCAATAGAGCTCACTTTTAAATAAAACTCGTTTAACTGAAAACGTTAATTTTTTTAACTCACCTATAAGTTCATGAATGCCATTTATGAAGATAAGAATCATAATAATAATCTACAATACGCATTCTAAAAGACATACAATATTTAATCTTTTATTTTTCCCCAAAGTTGGATTTCTATCTCATTCATCTTTATCATTTTAGCTTGACTGCCGGTGCCGCTGGGGGTCCATAGGAGTCCCACTACACATGGACACGAGCATTTACTGTATAATAAAATGGTCATCCCTATACCCCGTTCGGTAATAGGTGTCAAAACACACAACTGCCTCTATGCCTTATCCGGTATGAGCATAATCAAAACAATTCCTAACCCCTTCCAATATGGGACTTCTCAACCCCGTTCGACTGAGGGTAACATTCACAATAGGGTTTACCATATGCACCAAGTCCCTACACTCTCTCCCAACAAATCTGGTAAGCCCTTTTATTTTACACAATTAATTCATGCACATGCTCTCATTTATTTACTATTTAGCCCTATGAGGCTCGTACATCTGTATCCCAACTACATAAGTTCACATTTTAGGATAAGTACATGAAATAATAACACATTACACTGATGGAAACCAATTAAATGTACAATTGAATAACAAGACAAAATGTATAGAGAGGCCATACCGTGTTCGCCGTAGAATTCAGAATAAACCTATTAAAGTAAATAGTACAATGAACAATATAGCAAAATAACAAGTATAGAGATATATACTACAATT